TGCGGGTCCGGGATGCGGGGTGTGGGTGCGGGTCCGGGATGCGGGGTGTGGGTGCGGGTCCGGGATGCGGAGTGTGAGTGCGGGTTCCAGGATGCGGGGTGTGAGTACGGGTCCGGAATGCGGGGTGTGAGTGCGGGTTCCGGGATGCGGGGTGTGGCTGCGGGTTCCGGGATGCGGGGTGCGGAGTGAGGGTGCGGGTTCCGGGTTCCCGGCGCGGTGCTCCCCCGGCCCCGCCGCCAGCCCGGCCCCGCCGCTCCCTGCAGATTGCCAGCTGGAGAAGTTGCCGATGCGGCCGCGGGACCGGGCTCGGGTGATGGACGCGGCCAAGCACGCCCACAAGTTCTGCAACGCCGAGGAGGAGGAGAGCGTCTTCCTGCGSAGGTGGGCCYGGCCTCGGTATCCCCGKCCCTCTGAGCCCCAGGCCCCRGGAACGGGCTGCCCTCCCTGCCCAGCTGGGASCCKCCAGCCAGCACCGAGACTCTGTGTCTGTGTGCTCTGCTCAAGTGCTGTCTCTCTCCCCCAGACCCGAAGGCATAGAGCGGCAGTTCAGGAAGAAGTGTGGCAAGTGGGTGACCTTTTTTAGTCTTTTTAGTGACTTTTAGAATCTTTTTATGAGGAAGCCATAGGATTACAGAATATGCGTTTCCTCTCAGGTGTGCATATTTCTGTTTCCAGGTGTGGACTGCTGCTCTTCTATCAACACCAACAGAAAAATGCTCCTGTGACGTTCATTGTTGATGGTGCTGTGGTCAAATTTGGCCAGGGTTTTGGGAAAACAAACATATATACTCAGAAACAAGAACCTCCCAAAAAGGTAATTGGCTTTGGAGAAGAAGGATATCTCTGCTTTTCTAAAGATGTTGCGTATAAAATAACTTAATGGTGAGGGCTGAGGAAAAAAAGAGGGACCTCAAAGCAATGACTCAGTTTGGTGTCTTCTCCRTGTCTCCCTTAAATTTTCTTTGACAGAAGTCTCTGCAGCTTGGAGTCCTAGCACTAAAGGAGAACAAAATAAACTTGGAACCTAGACTGTGCCTGATRTTTAGGCTCAGTTAACAGAAAGTTTCCATTTGCAAGCAGGTCAGGTTGGTAGTCTGCATAGGGGTTCTCAAAGTCTGGCTTATTTATTGTATATCAGTGAGCTTGCTTCTGGTAATGACACCYATAAGCCCAGAAATCACTGACCATAATTCCCCTTTGCCACCCACAGAGTTCAGATWATCTTGATTACTTGCATAAGAAGCCTTAAAACCTTTGGAAGGAGGAGGCAATCCCTACTGACACAACTGTTGCCAAGGTTTAACAAAATATTCTTGTTTTTCACAYAGGTGATGATGACCAAACGGACCAAAGACATGGGCAAGTTCAGTTCTGTCACAGTCTCCACAATTGATGAAGAGGAGGAGGAGATTGAAGCGGTGGGTTTTGGATGCCCTTAGCGGCAGCCACATCAGAGCTGGGCAGAGCCAGCAATAGTCTCAGTGTTGGGATGAGGTGTTGTTACTCTGAGGTTTGCTGTTGCAAAGTGACGTGTGTATTTCAGAGGGAGATTGCTGACTCTTATGCACAGAATGCAAAAGTGATTGAGAAACAGCTGGAACGCAAAGGCATGAGCAAGAAAAGGCTACAAGAGTTGGTGAGTGTTTTCTTTAGCATTGAACACAAAGCTCTGAGATGTGTTGGCTTTGTACACAAAAGCTATCTTGCAGATCAGACTGCAAGTATTGAGAGGTCCTGGTACAGTCACAGGCAACTGTGAGGATGAGATTTCCTTTACAGTTTTTATAGAGATGTTGTTCTAGTCTCCCTGAASTTAAAATTGTATGCCATTATCTGGAGAGCTAACTGAAGAGCAGCCAGCAGAGTGCATGCAGGGAGGCTCTCTGTGACCTGTTGGATGAGGAACAAGGGAAGGGGAAATGAGGCCATGGCTTTGCCAGCCTGTGCTCTCATGYCTGCTTGGCAGAGCAGGTCATTGCCATGAGGCATCAGGGCAAAGCAAGGCTCTTCTGGAGGACCTGCAGCTCAGCTGCCACTGCAAGGGGCGCTCAAAGAATAAATGGTAACATTGCAAACTGATCTTACCTGCTGTGACAGGAGGGTATTAGATAGAAGGGGGAGGAAATGTRCAGCTTCCACCTGAGGATAGAAAGTATGAAATTGTCTCCTGGGCAGGTGGTCGTGGGCTTTTTATGATTTTAAAGATGGTCCTTGTTTTGTACGTCAGTGGAGGAAGAAGTCAGCAAAGCACTTGAGCTGCTMTTGCTCATGGTTTTGGAACTGAAAAGTTTGCATTGGTCAGACTAAGAAGAACAAACCTCATTTGAAGGGAAAACTATCCAGATGTTATTTAATTCTGCCTTAATTTTCGTATTCAGGCTGARTTGGAAGCCAAGAAAGCCAAGATGAAGGGAACCCTCATTGACAACCAGTTCAAATGAAATGCTGCATATCTGCTGGATATTTGGAGACAGGAGAAAGTTACCAAGAGCTATCACATTCTGTCAACAAAGCAGAAGAAACAGATGATGTTSAAGAGTTGTACTGGGCTGCAGCCAGCTTGGAGAATGAGAACCTCTCTGTTTAAGTGATACTCGGGTACCAGTCTTAACTCCAGTGGCACTGCAGACTTTGCTCAAACTGCAGTTCTCTATGGACYCACTGTTATGAGCAGGCTGTTCCACACAGAATATTTACTTCAAGAAAATCTTTGCTGGGTGCCTTCCTAAGTTCATCTTTAGATATGTCTTTTTATTTGGTAGTTTTCAAATGTGTTTCCTTGAATATGTTAGAACAATAGGTAGCTGTACARCAAAGAAATCCTCACAAAAGTAAGCTCTATGTCTGTTGTTAATTTTGTTTTTTTAAACGTGTCCAAAAGGTGCAGCAGCAGCCTAAGCCATGCAATTCCAACAGTCTCAAATGACTGGGATGCAAGGCTTGGGCATGGTGCTGCTGCTCACTCTGACATGCCAGAGGCAGCCAGCACAGGCTGGGCTGCTGCACTGCAGTCTCAGCTCCTGCTGAACATCAGAAGGCTGCACTTGAACAGAATTGCACTGTCAAAACAGACATATACAAGAATATAAAATCCACTCCTGCTTAAACTACTGTACATAAAAATTGCTACTAATGAGTTCAAGCACATCGTTGGAAGTCACTGATGCAGCCCATGATCATTAAAGAATACAATTGCACGTCTGAACTGTGCCCATTGGGCAAAAGAGTATCAGCATTTGGAGCTGTGAAATGTTGAAGGAAAAATCGTTTTGAATGTACCGACTGCTAAGGACTTGKATAGACAACATTACATAACAGTTTTTAAAGTACCTTGCTAGGGGTATAGTATTTTGTGCCTCTTGTGTGATGTAATAACAGTGCTCTATAGCCTGTTCTTTGTTACTCTACTTGGGATTAAATATCATGTTCCAGATTTGAATTAAATACTTTTCCTAGATGTTCTTACTCCACCAACTATCATAAAATGTGAACAATGAACAAGGTGCTTCCATCTCCCACAATCACTATGGAAAACTTCCTAAAATCAGTAAAGGTTTTCCATCTGGTTTTATAACCCTGACTGGGAAAACTCAGATCAGCTTACCTAAGGATCTGTCATTCCTTTCTTTGGGAAAACAAGTTGTAAAAGAGAGTGAACTTGGCCCAGTGCTAGCAGATGGGTCTGTAGATCTTGTGACAATTTAATGCCAGGCTGGTAAGCAGGTGTTCAGGTGAACTCACACAGTTCTGATCTTGTTCCCTGCTGATCATGTGCTAATCTGAAGCCTATTTCCAGAAGCCTGTGGCCAGAGGCGCTTGGTGTGCCATACTTGGGAAGGGCAGGAGGTACAGCTCCTGTACACTAACCCCTTTCCCACTGTGGTAGCACAGTCCAGCCAGGCGAGGGCCTCAGGGTTCCTCTGGGAGCGAACCAAGCCCAGGGTAACCACAGGTCACTSCCTGTAAAAATTCAGAAGACTTTTTACCCAAGCAAGAGTCAAAGATTTTGACATCTGAAAATAGGTTWTGAACCATTTGATGCAGATRCTGARTGTCCAGTTGTCCAAGGATGAAGCACAGTCTCGCTTCAAGTGACAGAAGAACGAGCTGAGTTGGGGATGGTGTGATTTATTGTCAGGATTAGGRCTGGGAGTGACAAAAGGCTTCTGCTGAGGACAGGCTATGAAGGGGCTGCCAGATGGGGATAGGACCTCTTTGGAGTTTGGTGAAGCACAAAGAAAATCTGGTGAGTGCCCAGCTAAGCTCAAGTTGTCCAAAGTAGCTGTTACCAACTGCCATCAACTTCCACAGCTGCCACCTGGAKCTTTGAGACAGCACAGCACAGGCTTCTGGAAGGTCAGTCCGTGTTCATTCCGTCTGTAGCTCTTGTCCTTGGAAATCTGCCTGGTTTGGCTCAGGACTCATGCATTTGTTCTCAGGTACTTTTGATACACTCAACTTAGGCAGTCCATGGCTGAAACAACTCCAACACAGAGAATCTGATCCAATACATTATGTATTTCTTATTCCAACTGGAGCTAGTTCACAACAGCTTAAATCAAGTTGTATTTTCATTTCTAGATCTCAAGGAATTAAAATATATGAGCTGATTGTAGCAACAGGAAGCTGGGACATCTAGTTCAAACAACTGATAGAATGTCCTGTTACAATGGATAAAACCAGCTGTCYTGCAGGGTTTCCCATACCCTGGTAGCAAATGGGCAACCTGCAGCAGAGTTCAGACCAAAGAAAAGCCAGATTTCATGTTTCTGTAAAAGTCAACACCTGTTTTTATAAATCTGTAGGTGTAGGTAAGTGATAGATTTGTTTAACTGAGCACATACTGTATGTAAGAATGCGTCCAGATGCAGAGGTATCACAAAATGTGAAATAAGTGAAGGAGAGGRACCGTTCCAAAAGTAATGGCACATATGGCCAGACTTACCTTACTGTGTTTCATGGTTTAGACCAGATCAGTTTCCAGGCACCTCCACAAGACCCAGTCTGATTTGCCATGTCAGAAGAGCTCTGGGTGCAACAATGCTGCCTGGTTCCCCATAACCTGTACAAAACCTCCACACAATTTGTAAACACTGGAGAGAAGTGGTTAACAGTGAATCCAGCCTCCTCGGTGTAAATCACAGCTGTGCTTGGGGAGCAGCACAGAGTCCTCTCTGCCTGCCCCGAGCGGAAATGTTTCTGGTCAGCTCTTACAGCTCTCCTTGGGCTGTGCTCTGCGTTTGTACTGTTTTACTGACTGATGTGCACATAGCTTGCATTGAAAAATGATCAGCTTGGGAGCAGCACTGACTGATCAACCTGAATCAAACTAGACTCAGCTTTTTCTTATACTAAAGAGCCCATGGGCATTGCCACATCCAGACATTTAAAAAGTATAAAATGATGGGTTTCTTTAAAAGGCTGCAGGGCTGGGCTCCAAGGATGGAATGGAAGCCTTGTGGCTCTCCCCACTGAGGAATTCTCATGAACCTAGCTGGCCATGGCATACTGTAGTTTTGGGTGGATTTCAAGGCACAAGTGGCCAATCTCTTTTGTTGTCAGCCACAAAAACTCCATCCCATGCCTGTAGCCAGGGCTGTAACTCCTGTCAATCCCACCAGGATTAGAAGGCAACAACCGGCAAACCACTGGTGGAATGACACCTCCCAGAACCTCCCTGATGCTGTCAATCTTGGTGTGGGTCTTGGCAGGTCCCGAGGTCTTGTTGTTCCCAAAACCACTACCCTGCAGCAGCTCGGCATGGCTCCAGGGTGCACAGAACTGGGGCTGTGTCCCTGCAAACATGTGAACTTAGCTCTGTCCCCGTAGCCCAACACATTCATGTGCTTTGGGCAGCTGATGGGACCACCTTGCATAGCTGGGCACTGGCAGAATCACAGTCCCACCGTAAACAACTGATTTAACTCTGCATAACCCAAAGCATTGCCTCTTCCCCTGCCCCTCTGCACCAGCCGTTGCCAGTCATGCAGGCACCACAKGAAAGATGCTGGGGCAATGTCTGTCAATGGTGACAAGGACATGGAGGCAGGGGCACTCCTGGCWCCATCCAAAGCCCAGGGACACAGCCTGGAATGACCCAACAACTGCTGAAGGGGACAGTGGAGTGGATGAGCTGGCAYTCTGCTGGTCTTTGACAAGTCAAGTCCTGGGGTGGGATGCTCTCCACAGCAAGACTCAGCACASAGCCAGGCTGGGGCAGGCTGGTGCACACGGAGCCATTCCAACTACCCTGCACCACTCGCCACCTGYCCCAGCCACTGACAAGTGTGTCACACGATCCCCTGCGCAGCTGCGCTGCGTCAACACCTCCTAAGCCTGGGATTTATGGCTGCTGGGTGAGGGGCTGAGACAAAAGCAGCATTACAGGCATTCACCAACCCCTTCCCACCAGCAAAGGAGCCCATACACCAGGCTGGACACAGCTCCTGCGGAGGAAATCATGCCATACRTGATGTTCAGCTCTTCCCATAGGAGAATCATGCTTAAAAGAAAAATCTGAGCCCATCCATGCCATCCTGGGGGCAGCACAGCCCGGTGGACAAAATGCTGTGCTGGAAGGACTGCACTCAGCTTGCTGCCTTGCCACTGGCTGGCCCCAGTCACTTTCCTGTGCCTCAGTTTCCCCACAAGAACAAAGCCCTTAATCCCTGTGSAGTGTGCTCCTGTGACAATGCAACAGCAGTAGCTGAAACTCCCAGCCTGGTCCCCAGATAAAGCTGCTCACAGGGAGCTGCCAGGAAGRGGAGGTTAAAACCCCAGAAAGCCTACCAGCCTGTGCTACCCAACAGTGGAGTGCAGGGAAAGCCCCTGTGGGCTCTGCCCTGCATCTCCCATCTGCCAGAGCTAAAAGAGCTGTGAAAAACAATGCTTGTTTTCTGAATTCCCAAGGTAGTCAGTAGGGCAGGTGGCAAAAACCTGTTTCACTCAGTGCCAGCCCTGCACCCCAAGTCCAGTGCACAATCTGTAGGTCTAGGGACTCAGGGATCCCCCAGCTCAGCTCCTTTGCAGCCTGGCACAAGAGCCCAGTTCAGTGCCTCAGGCACCCACCACCGTGTGCAGGAAGAAATGATGCACTTACCTTCTTGTGCCAATGGCCTGGCTGTGCATCCCCTGGAGTGGAAAGGATGCCCCAGGAAAGGATAGCAAACAGCAGCATTTCAGAACAGCCCTTGAAATCCAGGTGAGCTTAGCAGCAGGAGGCCGAGTGCCCTTGATTAATAAGTTTGCACTTGTACAGCAAGAGAAGGCTCCTGGTAATGCTGCCCCATGGCACAGCCCCCTGCCAGGCTGCCGCCTGTGCCCCTAGCACTGCCCACCGCTCTCAGCCTGTTCATTTCCACAGCAGCCAGTCAGGAATCTCACACTGCAGCAACCCAAAAAGAGAGCATCCCACCAAGATGATTCTTGGTGAGAATCATCACCAAGGACTGTTGGCTCAACTATGAGGGACAACACCGTCTCCCATCAGGGATRCACGTGCCCACTCACAGGGACCCCAGACAAACCAACACCACCTGCAGCAGGACATTGCTGAGCTCTCATGCCTGGCTGCCCTGCTTAGATTCCAGCAATAAAAATAACTCTCGCCCTTTGCAACAAAAGGTCTTGTTCAGCTGCCTTGGGCAGTGGTTGAGATTAGTTTCACTGATTGAGATCAACTGCCTTGAGCAGGCCTGGGCAGCCAGAAAGGACCAAAGGCCTTGGCGATGGGGAGATTCGCTGATCTGAAGGGCAGAAGACCAGRAGAGCATCCACTCACCACTCCAGATCCCCTGGCAGAAACCAGGCAGYTTCACTGGGGTGACTCACAGATCTACACA